CGCATTTGGCGAGCGGGCGACCGCTAAGGAAAATCCCTGTAAACTCCCTGTGTTACTGGAGGATACAGTATCCGATTTTTTTTTATCATTCGACCTTATTTATTCAAATGGAGACAATGCGGGGTATCAGTTTCGCGTGAGCCATTGCAGGGTTCATGGGTTGATTCCGGTTACCTGCACCCTGCAATGCTATCCCTTCATTCTGGGCTGTTTTAATTAAATTCGAAACATGAGCAGCCAAGTTCATTTGTGTCGGTGTAAATTCTCGATCTGGAAAGACATATGTCCATTGCAAAAAAAAAAAAAAAGGTTTAAGTGATCAACTAACGCGGGACTACCTCCGGGTTAAGTTGTGATTTAGTGTTTGGAAATTTCAGTCGAACTGTTCACGATAAAAGTATGGGGGGATTGGGTTGTTGCTGGGGTGGATGGGATGGGCGTCTGTATACCCTACCCACCACCTCTCATCGAAAGTGCTGAAATTCTCTCGTTAGAATGACTTCACCGGCTGATCTGCAGCAAAATATAATTTGGGGGTGCAAGTGCCGACCATAGTTTGCTAATTGGACGCCAGGATGACGCTCTTTCGCCCTGTCTTTTCTCTCATACTTGTATTTCACGAATCTATAGGAAGGGGAGGGGCGAGTACCGAGTAGTATCGACTTAAAATGGTCGTCTCCAATGGCGTAGGCTAAGTAGAGTTAAAATTATGGGGGAAGGAGCACGGAAGGTAAAGATACATATTTTTGGTTAAATTCAAGATTTAAATGGGTACACCTGGAGGGGGGGCGAGGGGGGGGTGGACGGGCATCCGTTGGCCCCGAGCTGGAAGTTGCCCCCCCCCCCCCCCCAAGTACCCTCGTATTTACGCCACTGGTCGTCCCCGCTCCTTTTCTTTTTTTATTATTTAAAAATGGCAGTTAATTGGGGGGGGGGTAGACCCTATATTCTCCGCATCAAGGCCATTTTCAACGTCCCCCCCCCCCAAAAAAAAATGGGGGAGGTGGTTTGCATATATTATTTAAACACCTGCAGTTGGTGCACATTTTTCTGCGTCCTGTCAATTTGGTTTGTCTCTCTCGAAGCGGTCAATGCAAACAGATGCTGCCTGGTAGTACCTGCATTCTGCCGCCGGTCCCTCGCTCTGCAAATATCGCGAAACAACGGCGGAGCCTTGGGGGGCTCTGTGATACACCGGCTTGCCTCGGCGGGTGAAACCGAAGAGCAAACATAGAAACAGCTTTCGATTTTTTGGACAGGTTGTGCGCAAACAATACACGAGTCCTTGTGGTTAGATGAAGACAAAATGTACGTTATATGCAGATTTAGGCCCTCGGGTTCAACAACGACTGAGATGATGCTACCTCTTCATTGGAGATGTTATCCCAGTGATCATGGAGCTATCGTGGGGTTTTTAAGTTGACCCAGTATACCAGCGACGGCGGAACAGTTTTGAAAGTGTGTGTGTTGGCTGCGTGGTGGGGGACCCAAGTACCGCCGTTACTGGCCGGCCGTTGCCAATTCGAAAATGGGGGGGGGGGGGGGGGAGGTGCTGGGCTGGACCTCAGGCGTCAACTTTTGGTGGTTACACCCTGCCCCCCCCCCCCCCCGGTTCGGGCAGTGAGCCATCCTAATGGTTAACTGCAGTGTTATACGTAAGGGTCTTTCCGCCTGATGATCGAAAGTGATCATTCGATCCTGTTATTAAAGGGGGATTTTCACTACAAAACTTTTTATATGTTTACCCGACACATAGCGTGCACTATTTTGCAACCTATTTTTGCACCCTCAGTTGTCCGGAAAAAAACACATGGATGGACAATTATAAATGAAGTGCATGTTTCAATAAAATTGTTTGCATGTTTCAATAAAATTGAATCATGTCAAATAGTTTTCATACATTACGAGGAGTAGAAATTAAGTTGCACAAAACAATGTTCCCAAAAATAACACAATCACCCATTCAGATGCGCCCTTCAAGCATTTAAGAGTCTCCATATAGTCACTGCAGAAGTGGCGTCTATTATTTGCTATGGGAAACGCTGGCGGCCTATTTGTTTTCGCTCACAAGTGCTAAGTGTGAACCTTTTTTTAAGAAGGGCGCATCTTTTTGTGTCTTTATTTAATCTAAACGGTCAGAGGATTGCGGGTACTTTTTATGGGTTGTCTTTTGCCTGTGTAAATAATACCGGAGTTGTGACAAGTTGTTTTTGCCCCCCGGTAAATGTTGAAATTTGGGCTTTAAGACATCCCAGTCGACCTGAGAAAATTGTTCGGGAACAGCCTTTTAATTGATTGAAGATTTTTTTTTTTTTATTGGCGTTGCCAAGGTTAAAGATTCTACATACATCACTCAAACCATGGGGCTCAAACGCATGAAAATCATTCATAAAGATGAATTATGCCAATATAATTGTCAACGTTTGCATAATATTTTAGCATTTAAACAGAGCCTTTTTATGTCTCAACTTCGACAACACTGATATCACTGTGTACAAGGAGGTTCAGCTCCACAGGCTTTCAGCCTTACAGCAAACATACTTTGTATTGACATAAAAAGAGTAAACGTTGAAAGCTCAATAATCGTCCTCGTCTATTATAGCTCCCAGGTCGTACGCACAGGCATCGACGCAAGAGGGGGGGGGGCGCTTCCCCCGGAAAAGAAAAAAAGTATCGTACAAATTGGAAGGGGTGAGACCTCTCGTCTGTACAAAGGTTCTGAAAGATACTCCTGATGATTCATATTACTCTATCTGATTTAATATATATCTCGTTCAGTGGACTAAAAATAACTCCCACTGTTTCGATAATCTTGCATTTCTTTTTAACGCACTCATAGGCCTACAGCTGACAAACTTATATCACTGTTAAATAAGGATATGATTATCTTTGATTGACATGTCCTATGAAAATACTCGTATTGACAGAAATGATTACGGCCGAGGTGATGTCAACAGGCATGGTTTCAAATGATTTCGTCACTCGTGCCTACACCTGTAATATTGAAGTCAAAGTGATTTAGCCATATTGATTGGCGTTCAAATTTAAAGTAACAAGATCAGTGTGCAAGGCTTTGCAAAAAATTACCAGATTAAAAAAAAATGGTGTCAGAAGTGGGATCTGCAAATTTGCCTTGACATTTTTGAAGATCAATTTATATCACAAATATAAAGTACCATTTTCCCTTTGGTCAAAAATTTCTAATCGCAGATTCTATATTGGTTCACCACTTTACGAGTCTAAATTGTGGCACGGGAGTGCCGAACCCAGACCTAGCGACGGTAACTTCGTGGGTTGATAGGAGCGGAAATAGTGCATCCGACCGTGTCTTCTGCGTAACCTTTGAATTCTGATGGTCATCAAACCAATAATGGCTTCAATGGTGCTACCATAGGTCGAGTATGCTAATCACACAGTAGCTGCGAACTGACACTTATAAATCTGAAGAGGATTGTATTTGGACAAAAAGGTGACAATGGGTTACAAGCGAGTTGTCACACTGTCCATGCTTATCTATCAAAGACTGCCCCACCGTTACTCGGTTTGGTTAGAGATATATATATTTTTAAAATAGGGCCTATATACATTACTTTGTTTTGTGGGGTACAAATGAAAAGAGCAAACGGTGAAACGGAATGTGTGTGTTGGGGATATGGACATAATCGTGTGCTAATTTACTATGTATATTTGGAGAAAGCTCGTCAGCCATGAAAGTTCCTTTAAGCCACATGAAAAAAATCCCGTCGATCTTTCATTTTTCAAATCTCGTTGAACTTATTCTCCCCGATTGTATGTGTTTCGTTTGCCTCTCGAGTGTTCTCTCTTGAAGATAATTTACAATTCTCGACAATGTAGACGAGCAGATAACTGCAGAACGTGTATGAAACACATCATAAAGGCTAATACGTGCATGGCCTATTTCTTGCCGAGACCATCTGGAATAGGCTGTTTCTTGTCACATGTCCGCCACACACACCTTTTAAAAGAATTCAGAGCACAATGACAGCAACCGAAAAAGTTTGCCTACAATCTGGACACAACGCGGCGGCCCCTTCAGCAACAGATTTCTTCCTCTATTCATCGCATGTGGTAATCCACGCCAAGGATTCAGAGCGGTATAGTTATCAAATTAAATCTGGGAACCCGTGCAGGTTAAGCCGGATAATCCCGCCGTGTTATTGACGCTTTTCCCCGTGGTCCATTTTAGAATACCCGGCAGGTTGATCGGAATGGATTCTGTTTTTCAGTTGATAATAGTTAATGCAGTTTTGTTGTAAGTGGGGAAGGTAAGTAAGGAATTTAGGTGAATAATAGGTGCATTCTCTATGCTGATGGGGTTGTAATTTACTTTTGAACACTTACCAGTTGTTTGGTGCCATGTGCGTTTTCAAATTTTACCATTTAGCTGCGGAAGTTCCTTCAGATTTTAGAGGGTCTGCTCTCCCTTGGACAAAAGCATTTCGTCAGAGTGATTTTTCACGCCTTCCAGTTTAACGATAATAAGCGCACATAATTATTATCAAACCAGGTAACTATGCAAACGTTTAAGTAAATTAGAATTCAGAAGGGGATATCCCTTAATGTTTTAAATGTTCTTTTTATCAACTGAAGAAACAAATGAGCAAAATCTGCCCGCATATCCATGTCGCACATTGTTATAGCAATAATTGGGGTGAATTCATTTCGATGAAGATGTTGTCACCTTATCATTACAGCTATAATCAACGATTCAGTTTTTGAAAAGTGACATTAATAAAATAATTTCTCTTCTAAAAATAACTATCATAGATGCACGAGGAAGCCATGTTGGATCGCGTTCCCTGAATGTATTTTATACATTGTAAACTGTTGAATGGGATGGTGCCAGACTATTTATGCGTTCCAAGCCTCACTTTTTTTCAAAATTCGGCTTAAAATATTAGGTATGTTTCATCACAAATTTTAAATTATTCATCAAAGCAGACCGGTATTAATTTGTAATTAACTTCATTTCATTGCTTTCATTTCTATTCGCAAGTTCCAAAAATGAAAATGTTACCTCGCTTTCAATTCAATATGGCCGACTCATGAATAAAGCCTCCTGAATAAAGCATCCTTTGAATTTTTGCAGAATAAATCAAATACTCCAATTTTCAGCTTCGCGTGCTGTGTAAATTTACGGACAGTGGTATATATAACAAGGTGATCTTGTTTTCCACCATGGCTATCAAGGTTCTTCATGGACTTTTTTTAATATCTCGTGCAATCAATTATAAAATGCACTGACGGGAAATGATATCTCTTTCGTACACACTTGTACCGCTGTTGACACTGCCTAATTGACCGTTCAATGACTGTTTTTTTAATTGCACAATCAAAAGGTGATTGAAAGTGTCTCCTCAGCACTTAACAACGTCATTTACGGGGATTGAATCCTGTAGATGCTATATTTATTGGGTTTTTTTTTCAAGTCAACAGCTGATGACGTTTTTGGTGTGAGTGTACATGATGTAGTGTTGATTGATCGTGAGAAATTGCTGACAAATTTGCAAAGTCCGTCTTTCAAAAAATTGATTTCACTGAAAAGCAAGCTTAGCTTAATAAAAGCAGACGTAAAAGCATTTCATAATTATAACCTGCTGTATGTACTAGAGGGTTCTTTTGTAGTAATTACTTGAAAACAAAGGACTTTTTTAACACTCAATAAAATACCAAATGTTAATGAAAACTAATAGGACGGCAAATAGCGATACTGTATGGTTCGATATTACAACAATTGGCCTTTTTTTAATTAGAAAAAAAACATGATTTGAACGGGTTCACACGAAGAGTTATTTCCACAACGCGATATACGCCGTTTTGAGAATCCCGCTCTATCTTGGCTGCCCAAATGCATATTTCGACGGCTATTATAGCCTGGGGCCTACTTTAACGTACAAATACAATAAGGCGAAACATAAAGTTTAGAAACAGCAGTTATACTATTTTTTTTTCTTTAAAGATTCATAACTTTGCAAACTTTTCAATTTTTTATTCACATGGATATGTCGGAAAGAAATAATCTTTTTCAACTACGTTTTAACCCACTTTATCGAATTATATCACGGGCTTTTGTTTTATATAAAGATTTACATTTTAGCATTGTGGTTATTATTTCCCTCGAAGATTGCACTGCCCGCGACACTACCACCAACTGACAATTTCCTGGTCCGACTTGTCGCGGAGGATTTATCGATACCGGGATTACCCGTTTTCGTATCGGTCTCGTCTTCGAGACTTCTCGTGATCGAAGAGGAAGAGCTGAACGCGTTCGATTTCCTCCTGCGGAACGCGTTCATGACCATCTTGGCGGCTCCGGCAGAATCGATAGACGAAGTACTCGATTCCGGTTCTCGCTTTCCTCCCTTGACGGCGCTGCTGGTCCCTCTGCGCGACGACACGGAAGCGGTATCGATACTGTTGACGCTCGGTAATCGTTTGAGAGTCAGCCCCATGTCCATATTCGATTGGCGACGGCTGAGCCTGCTTGACGGGGCCTTGCGATCGCTATCCACGGTGATGGAGGGGTGGACGAGTTGGGGAGGGGAGTGGCTTCGAAAGTGGTACCCCGGAGGGGGAACACGGGCCTTTCGTCGGAAGGATTTGCTCACTTGGTTTTCGTACCGCTTGAAGATCTGCCTGAATTCTCCTCGCCATAGAGCGCTGTCGTTTTGGCTACACTGACTTGAACTGAACGAGTTTACAGGATGGAGATTCTGCGTCATTTTCCATTGTCCGTAGGCGTTGTGCGTCCTCTCTGCGTCTGTGGTGAGGCGCGGATTAGCAAAGGGTACCGGTGAGGGGTAAAACTTAGCCCGGATCAGCTCCTTGCTACCCCCCTCACCGATCCAGTTTCTCGTCACCCCGACCAGCTTTGCCGAGTTCAGATTCGGCATGGCGGGCATGGTCTTGGCCCGGCTTAGACTGCGCTGTGGGACGCTTCGGGCCCGGTCGGGAGTGGTGCTGATGTCCAGACTTTCCGAGGAAGATCGCTCATCACTCAGACCGTGGCTGTCCGACTGGGAGATGCCTGGCATGCTAGTTGTTCGCCGTAGCTGTCCCAGCTCTGACTCGCCTTCGCCCGCAGTCTTCTTCCCCGTCAACCAGGGTTTATCGTAGGAGCGATTCCTGGCCCTGTCGGTAGCATGAAGATGCCTGTCGTGCTCCTGCTGCCAGTCCAAGGCGTTCCAATGCCGCACCCCGTCCCTACGCTCGACATTCGCACCGTTGTCGACCATAATTCTGGCCACCCTCTCGTGGCCCAATCGACACGCTTCCAGAAGGGGAGTCATGCCACATTTGTTCGCCTTGTCAAGCGTCTCTCCAAAGTGTTTGAGTTTCCTCACCAGCGCGGCCACCACATCGGCATTACCACCGGTGGCGGCGTAGAACAGGGCCGTGTTGCCGAACCGGTCACGGTGATTCAAGTCGAAGTCCACAGCGCTCAGAAGAATCTCCACCAGCTCCAGCCGGCGGTGGATGCAGGCGTAGATGAGTGCATTACGGCCCTGCTTGTCAGCCAGGCCCGCTAGAGCTCCCGTCTCCAGGAGCATCCTAGCGATGCCCACGCCCCAGGTTTCTTGCTCCACCAGCGCGCACAGGATCAAAGGCGTACGGTGGTTGCCATCCCGGCAGTTCACATCGTCCCCGGCTGATACCAACTGGCGGGCGTCGTGAAACTGTCCACGGTGGATGGCCACGTGTAGCTCGGGCAGACCTCTCCACATAGCCGCCATCTCCCTTTAGGCAGTTATCACACCAGTGTATTATAACTCGCTCCCTTGAACCAACAGTAGTTGCTTTGCGATCTGAGTGACTGCAACATCACCATCATCATTGTCATCCACGTGCGGACGATAAAAGCCCATCCAAATCAATGCTTCTCATAACATTGTGCTGTCAATTACAGTCTGATTTCACTTCATGCAATCTGAGCACCTTGACTTTATTGTAACCCTTACTCGTGATTTCAACTTCAACAAACCTCTGACCACACTGTCCACAATTCTTGCTCCACATTCATCATGACACCACTCTCCACAAAAGCGCAATGACAACTTATGATGTCTGTTGTTGTCAGTCTCAGGATAAAACTAAACACTGAGCGGGGTAACAGAGCCATGACTACACACGGTTGTACAAACACCACAGACGGTGGGCGAGTAGAGGGGCGCTCCGCACAATATTTAACCGGATTGTGAACATTGCGCTGTATAAGCATACACAATATCGGTCGATCAGCGAACCTTACTGTGGGGCAGCAAAAATCAGTCGTCTGGCTGAATTGAATACTGTAACAGAAAACCTGTCCTTTCAAACTCATTCTATTACAAAGAAAATGACGACAACAAGAGGCGTTTGGTGTTATTTAAAGTGTTTGGAAAGTCTGGTGTGGTAATCTTTCAGATTGTTGTTGGCTTAGGCAAAAGGATGGTTTAAATTACCCCGAGTGAATTCCCAAACAACTTCTGTTGACAAGTGAAAGGAGTAGATTTCGAGCACGCTTCAGGGGCTTAGTGCATGTTATGTATCGTGACAAGAATAAAGAAACGACTAGAGCGTGCTCACATCAAACCTCGTTCCTATGGTGTCGAGCAGTACGCCCCACTACCTGCTCTCACCCTGGCATTGGATCATTTGCAAATCCAAATCTTTTGAATGTAAATGTAAATTTGGCCCCCTGTAGGCGATGTGTTCTGGGCGCACGAGTAAGGAGTACGAGTAAAGAGTTCCCACCCTAGGGCCTACTATTGAAAACAAGGTTGGAAATAGGCCCTGGGGATGAGGTTTGCTCACACCTACACAAAACCACTGAATGACAATTGCAGCATCGGCTCGAACCCAACTCCCTTTGCCTCTCCGGGATCTGACTCTTTGATGAACCAATTTTTTTAATAAATGTTCTCATCAAAACATAAATTGACTCCATTATATATATTAAATCTATATTGAGTGACGAGTCTATACCCTTCGTAGTCTTTGGATCCCTACAGCCCCGTAAAATTAATTACGACTGCACTTTGCAAAGTCATCACTGTCGGCGTTCGACCGCTCCACTTTCACATAATTTTAAATCAGATTGACTTTCAACTTTGCACATACAAAGATCATGGCTGTTGCGTTGTGACAAATGTACTCGACATGACCAGTGGCGTAGTTGTTGGCCGGTGGTGGGCTGGGACGCAATTATGAAAAGGACCATCGCTCGAGCGCCCCCCCCCCCCCTTTTGTGCCCACCCCAACCCGATCAGAATTTGGCAGAAGGCAAAAAATAAGCTTTGCATCGTAAAAAGAAAACAAAAACTCTGAGTCACCCCTCTTCCACTGATAACGATGCCCCTTAGTGTGCCCAACCCGGCAAATTGAATTGGGACAGATTCGAGCGGACAATATCAAGTGGCGTAAATTCATCGTTTCCGTCCATTCGCTTTTTGGAAATCAAATCATGCACTTGGAAAAGTATCACTCAAGCCAGACTCACAGACAGTGTTTAGACCCAAAATATCGGGACCTAAATAAACACTTTGGGATCGTACCTATGTTTGGGGTTGTAGCTTCTATTATTGTTCTTTCTAAAGGGGTTCTATCTTGATTCAATATCTTGCGAAATTTTCCTCAATTGCTGAGATTTTTCAAATCCAAATAACCGCGATGAGTGGCAAGCAGTACAGTAACAACTGGGGTGGGAAATGGAGGCACCCCCAGGGGGCCTACCCCTCCCCCTTACTTCCCCCTACTGAAAGTTGGTGGAGGGGAAATGATTTTGTTTTATTATAGAAAAAATTGAGGGTCCTTTTAGAAAAGCCCCCCCCCCCCCTTATAGAAAAGTCTCCCCCCCCCCTATAGTGGAACCCAGTGAAACACGAGTGGCATGTTAGGGTGTGCTCCCCGTGTCGTTACCCTTCTCCCTGTTTGTCATTCATTGGTCTCCAGGCTAGGGGTGGGGGACGTAGCATTACACACTGTCATCTTTATCAACAAATCGGCCACGGGGCTGCGTCCTAAGTCAATACTCAAACGAAGGAGCTCAAACAACGGAGGATTAAATCGATACCGACCGAAGCACCAAAATGTGCTTAGTACGGAAAATGTTTGCTTATCAAATGACTAGTTACTAGCGGGAATGTAATGTGATGTACATGTACATCGCTTGTGTCTGGTTCACGACTGAATTTTTCGCTTAGCGTCTAAGTTTTTGCCGAGCAATGTTTCTGCTTAATAGCTCCGTAAAGTAGTTGTCTATTGTACATCAAATTCCAACCAGCCAACCGATCGCGATCCCACAAGCTTGGTCAAGTGGTAAGACATCTGCACTATAGAAAGCAGGAGGTCGTGGATTCAAGTCCCACCCAAGGCGGACCAAGAACACTTTGGGGGGGGGGGGGGTTGGTCCCCCAAACAGTGGGTCCAACAATTTACGGCGTGGGGTTCGGGGCCCGCTTAAGGGTGCAACAGTGCAAAAAAATTCCCATATCCACTTGTGCTAGATGCCCATACTTCAAAATTCTTTTAAAAATACTCAAAACTCTCACAGGTATTTAAGCTGCACAGAAAAATGATGATCGACATGTCCTCTTTCAATTTCTTTTCATTTTTTGGTGGGTTGACCATTGACTTTTCGAGAAATTCTCGCCCAAAGAAGACGACCCCTATTTTCCCCAAAGCGGAACGGTAGCCATCTTGAAAAACGATCCCTCCACAACATGGCAAAATAGCGCCACTTTCGAGCCCAATTGTATCCAAAATGCTCAGAATTGGAAGCCTCGAGTCCGGGCCAGAGGTTCATTGCCATATCTCTTCAATACCCCAATGTTATGGCTCTCAGAACTCTCTAATATAGAATATTTTGAGGGTATAACTTTTATTCATGAGCTCGGCGAATGGATTTAGGCCTATTCACAGGTGTGCACCCTTTAGGGCCCCGGATTTTTTTTTTGCGGGGGGGGAATTCTAGATGCTCCTTGGTGCGATCTGAGGCAATTTCTGACCACTTTAACCATTTTTTTAGGAAAAGATGGTGGTGTACGCAATGGCTGCTTTTTTTGCCACGTCATTTAAAAAATGGGGGGGGGGGGGGGCATGGCCCCCGTTAGCCCCCCAGATTCGCCCGTTTGTCCCACATGAGTGACGTGATAACAACCCATAACCTATAAATTGGAAAATTTGATGATTTCCTTTCCGATCCTCTATTTATCTATATATTAATTTATATATTACATTTCTTTACCAAGGGTACCGTTAAACAGTTCGAAACAGGTTTCCATTGGGGCCCTGCATTCAATTTTTTAAATAACTTACTCAAACTAAAATTACAAGGAAAATTGCACATGTGAAACAGACAAATACCTTCAAACACAACTTCTTTACCATTTTTTTTACTCAGATAAAGCTTGTAAAAAATGCATGTTAAACATTCCAGTATAAGGCACGAATTGCTGATTACGGGATGGGCAAAAACCCCGCGAAAACTCACTTGAGGAAAAAAAACACGGGGACATTCCCGATCCGGCTCCAAATTTCCGTTCATGGCAACCAAGTTTATAACTCCGTATATCAGCGCATTTTTGAACTAGTGTGATATTGACAGAAATATCACCGATGACTAATACGATGTACAAGGGATACAAGATGGTAGATCGCTAGAAGAAATAATGAATAAAAGTGGACATACGATCGACCCCTAGCCTGCGGAACACCAACGTTTTGGGTGGCAGTACCAGGTGCGGATCCAGCGAGAACCCCCCCCCCCCCTCTTTCCAAAAAAAAATTATCCTACAAATTCTTTAAAAATAAGTACACCCCCCCCCCTCCCTGTGACACCCCCCAAAAAATTATACAGGTATAATGTCCGCCTGTTCAAAATACGGTACACCATTCTGTAATCTTATGTAAATTCGTCGAATTTGAACAGCGCCCCCTATTGAAATATGGTACCAGCACCAGCCTTGGTGAACAACTGCACTCCGTTATGTATATTGTCATCGTCTCTGCTGCTTACACGAAACAAGAGGAATCTGCAAAGATAAAAGAAATAGGGCCTTTATCGATTTTATTACATTTCACATTCGAAGCACAACCCAACTATCGGGGTGAAAAGATTGTCATAAAAAGTTCGATATGCCACTTCCCGAAGACTAAGAAAAAAATAGAAAATGAATAAATGAAAAATACATCTTAGACTAAATCCTTTTGCTAAATTACCTCAAGAATTGGTGAAGACTTGCTCTGCAAGCAGGGTCTTCAGTCCTTCCGTCGGTTCTCCTCTCTGCTTCCGGTTCCTTGGGATTCAAAAGTGAATGTATCTTCGTCCAGGATGACATCTCATCTTGCAGACCGTCATCTCTGCCAGAAGATTAGAAGGAACACATGTAAGAAAATGTGAGCGGGACAATTATGCGCCTGTTGCTCTTCTTTTGTGAAGTTGTTAAGTGATTATTAATTTCACATTAAATTTACTTTCCTCTAGATTTATCGTATTAAAAAAATAAGGTATCATTCATCGCAGACAAAATAATCAGAACAATTTAAAACACCCTAAGACATTGTTCGAAAGGAAAATACATTAATATTTTTACCTGGGAAATCAGTAATGGGTTGCCCGGCAAGCAGGGTCATCCAGCCATCCGATGTTCCTCCTCCCTGCTTCCGGTTCCTCCGTATCATCAGCTCCTGACATGAGCACTCTGACTTGCCGGTCCTCCTAATCTAATTGCAAGTTGCTGAAAATAAAAAAAGTCTTCCTAGCGGAGCTAGGTTTTGTAACTACATTGTACAATGGATTCCTGATCAAATTTGTGACCGGTGCTGTGATATAGAGAGAAGGAAACGTATATTAGTAGTCCTTACTTGACCACTATAAAGATACAACTATAGAGAAAAAAGGGAAACTTAAATTAGGTTTACGCTACTTAGATCTCTAAGCCTAATTGGATGTAAAGTATCTTACATACAGATAATGAAAATAATCCAATTAGTGGCCCTTACCTGACAACTGTAATGGATTAAACCGTTGAGAATGAAAGCTTGGTTTATTCTAAACAGATAATTTGGCCTACTGGTCGCAAAGATGATATTCCAGTTTGCGCAAAGCAACGCGCATCCACTGGCGCGCAACGCGGTTCAAAGGGAAACAACATTCACATTGCCGACCAGCTGTGATCGGACTTATCAGAATTCAAATGTACCATCGATCAAATCCTCCACTGGTGTTGTGGTTGTTTAATTAATTAATGCACATTGTTTCATCCTGTAAATTCAGGCTATACACTTTACAGAGCGATTACAAAGTGAATCCGACGCTACAGGTGTCATTACACCTGATTTACAGTAAACAAAATTGACACAATGACCCTAACACAAAAGGCAAATTATCGATCTTTGCGAATCGGATATTATGGAAGAACAAATCACAAACAATACTTCATGTCCATAAGACACGTTTCGACAAGGATCAGAGACTATTTCATGTCACAAAGTAATCGTGGAATCGTTGAAACCATCATTCTGATTACGTTTCACGACCGTTACATGTTTCAATGAATCTGTAAGATCTGCACATGACCCTATACATGTAGAGCTTTTTTAAACAATAGATCTCCAAGAAAACTTTTGTCACACGGACAAATAAAGTAGATTCTTAAACATGGCCCTATAGAGTATTTCACTCCATTAACCACGGTGAAGTTACAACAGGTGAGGAATATAAAGAGTATACAAGAAAACTTAGACCCAACATTTGAGCTTTTTTAAGCTTCAAAATAGCTATGGATACTTAATACATGACCCTAGAGTATATTACACGATGATTCGCACTCAAGACGGGATGAATGCACAAGCAGCTTTCAAGAAAATTGCAGAAATTTCTACAGAACGGAGGAATAGAAGATCTCTACACTACTTCACATGGCCCTAAACAATTTCGCATAATAAAGTGGAAAGATTGTTTTTACAAAAACAAAGTAAGACATGTTCATATGGCCCTGGAATCCTGTAAATAATCTGTCACATAAGTACAGAAGATAACACAAGAAATTGGACTTGGCAGAAATATCTTCAAGACGGCGATGACAGTTTTGTACACATGGCCCTAGGATTTTTTTCACAATGACAATTAATATGGAACGACGAGAAAATGTATGATAGACGCAACTAGAATTTCAAAAAGTTTGATTCGTACACATGGCCCTAAATATCTAACACGAATTGTTACAAACGGAAAAAATATTTCGTACAAACATTGACCCTACTACAGCTCACAATCATTGTCTTTAAATGTCAAGCAGTAGACATGATTAAACAAAAATGTACAGATGGTGCAAATTGGAAGAGAAGCAGAACGATTTACTACACATGGCCCCATCATGATTTCGACACAAAAATCCTTCCTAGATAGCAGGTGCTACGTAGTTTAGCAGTTGGCCTAATCATACACATGCATGGCCCAATCATAATTTCACATGGCCCTATCAATTATTCTGCAGACACTCGTAGTCGTGTACATATTTCGTTCTTGTACTTTACTTGTACTCTTCTAATTTTGTTCGCACTCGAGCTCGAACACGAACTTGGTTCGCACTTGAACTCAAACACGAACTCGTTTTCAACGAACGATACATTTGTAGTTTTAATATACCTGCAGGTCGATATACACCGTCTTATTTTCTTCCTATACACTAATCGGTCAAATGATTAACAAATGCTTGACAAGATTTAATGATTGACGCTAACTTTGTTAGCACTCGAACTCAACTCAAACTCGTAATCGTGAACGAACGATACATTTTTCGTTTTAATCAATACCCGCAGGTTCATCGTCTTATTTTCTTCCGATACACAAATCGGTCAAATGATTGACAAATGCTTGACAAAATGTAATGATTGACGCTAAATTTGTTCGCACTCGAACTCAACACGAACTCGTAAATCGTGAATGAACGATATATTTGTTGTTTCAATTCATGCCCGCAAGTCCATGTCTTATTTTCTTTCTATACACAAATCGGTCAAATGATTGATAAATGATTGACAAGATCAAATGATTGACGGTAACGTTGTTCGCACTCGAACTTAACGCGAACTCGTTAATCGTGAACGAACGATATATTTGTTGTTTTCAACCCATACCCGCAGGTCCATGTCTTATTTTCTTCCGATTCACAAATCGAACAAATGATTGAAAAAAATTAATGATTGACGCTAACTTTGTTCGCGCTCAAACTCAACACGAACTCACTCGTAATCGTTAACGAACGATACATTTGCTGTTTTAATATACCCGCAGGTCAATATCCATCGTCTACTCTTATCGAACAAAATGATTGACATTTAGGGGTTTTTTTCGATTTCACTTTTACGCTCCTAGAATTTCTCCTCATTGATTTATTTTTCCTTTGAAGATTTTTGCCTTTTAATTTATACGTTATCTTATTTGAAAGACGTTTTCAATCGAACCGAGAGCGCGCTAGTGCTCATTTCGAATACGTGATTATTTTCGGAATCGTACATTACTGACACCCCAAAACGTTGGCATCTAGAAACAAATTATTTCAAATTTATTTGCACATCCAAGCGGCGGGATTTTTATTTCTTTCCCATCTGGTGCTTGGTAAGATTGTGTCTGATGAACTATTAATTGTGCGGAGAGGTTCCTTGAAAATATAATTATTATCTTTAGCTTGCTTTGTCTTCTCAACAAAACATAATCTCTTACTGGTTTTACAACTTTATACATTAATAATTCTATACTGAATTAATTTGTTGGCAATGTAGTACCCATCAAGGGTGTTATATTTCTCAATAAAAGTATCCATTAAGAGTATCGTCTTTATCAACAGAATCACCCATCAAGGGTGTCGTATTTCTCAATAGAAGCACCCATCAAGGGTGAGGTCTTTCTCGATCACCCATCAAGGGTGTTGTGTTAATCAATACAGTAGCACCCATCAAGGGTGTCGTTCGTCTCAATAGTAGCACCCATCAAGGGTTTTGCCTTAGTAGCACCCATCAAGGGTTTTGCCTTGGTAGCACCCATCAAGGGTGTCGTGTAGCACCCATCAAGGGTGTCGTTCTTCTCACTAGTAGCACCCGTCAAGGATGTTGCCTTAGTACCACCCATCAAGTGTGTCGTGTTAATCAATATAGTACATGGTGTAGCACCCATCAAGGGGGTCGTTCTTCTCAATAGTAGCACCCATCAAGGGTGTCGTCCTTCTCAATATACTAGCACCCATCAAGGGTGTTATAGTAGCACCCATCAAGGGTGTCGTCCTTCTCAATGGTAACATTAAGGGTGTTGTATTTCTCAAAAGTAGCACTCATCAAGGGTGAGATTATGGTAGCACCCATCAAGGGTGTCGCTTTTCTCAATGGTAACATTAAAGGTGTTGTATTTCTCAAAAGTAGTACTCATCAAGGGTGAGAGTATGGTAGCACCCATCAAGGGTGTCGCTTTTCTCAATAGTAGCACCCATCAAGGGTGTCGTCTTTCTCAATCATATACTTTAACTTCTAGAGGGCGGTATTCCAATGGACATTATTCAACACAACAGTTTACAGACTTATTTCGCAAAAGTTTGAAAAGGAATGCATAATGAACATCTTTACACCATTATTTCTTCAAGGTAAGTCCTTCGGCTTTACACAAAAATAATCAGCAAACTTAATATGGTTGTGATGCGGCCATTAACACTGATTTCTGTTGATATGATAACATCTCCGAGGGTCCGTCTTCATCGCTGATTCTTCAGTTTGTATTATTCAAATAAAATCCCAAACGTTAAAACTTAATTTTCTTCATACTTCAACTGGCGTTATTATCATGCCAATGCACAAAGGCATTGTCAGGATAACGTTGGTATAAATTAAATACGTTCGTTCCCTTCCCGATTCCCAAAGTTCCTAATTGTCTTGCAAGCTGCTATTTGCTCGCTTTTTGCAGCACGCTAAAGCTTCCTAAATTGTATTTATTGATGTATTATTATTTTATTACCACCTGCTCTTTATGCACTTTAATTTTTATATATTATTTGGCTACATATATAGCTTTGCCTTAATTTTTATTCATTGGTATCCCTCAAAACAGGAAACCTCATCGAGTTTTTCTGAACTTAAGATTTAAAACTTCGGACATACATTTTCACTTTATTTTCCAGTTAGAAAAGCTGTTTTAATGATTTTGATTCAGTAAAAGACTTAATTTTTTACAATAATTATATTTTAAAGAGCTCCGTAGTAACTATGAGTTGATAAAATCAATTTTTTTATCACGGAAGGTAGACATCTATCATCCGTTTTAATGAAATAATTAACTGATTTGGTATCGGAAAATATGAAAATTAAGATATCGTCAACCAGTGAATAATCTTCTCAGGAAGACGATATCCTACAAGATACCATCAACCCGAGAAATATTTCATTTTCTCGAGAAGATAACATCTCATCCAAAAGATATAGTCAACCCGAGAAATATTTTATTTCCTCGAGAAGACGACATCTCACCTAAAAGATATCACCAATCCGTGATGAAATATTATCTCGGAAAAACGATATCTAACCTACAAGACATCATCCACCAGAGATACGTTTTGTTCTCGAGAAGATGACATCTGACCAACACGATATCTTCAACCCGAGAAATGTTTTCTTTCTTGGGAAGAGGATATTTCACCTACAAGATATTATCGACCAGAGATTTTTTTCTCGAGAAGACAACATCTCACCCTACAAACAAGATATCACCTACCCGTGATGACATTATCTCGGGAAGACGATGTCTTATTTACAAGATATCATCAACCCGGGAAGTATTTTTCTCGGGAAGACGGTATCTCAACTACAATATATCACCAAGAACACTTTCTCGGGAAGACGATATCATACATACAATTATAACATTGTGAAAACTACCCCAACGGTGTTGGGCCGGTGTCCTCCTTTTTTTTTTATCAATGACGGATGTTCATCAACCCATGTAAGCTTGGAGCTCAGTAACGTCTACTTATTTCAAAAACCAAAATTGATATCAAAAAGAAATTTTCTAATATTTATAACATCGTATTTTAATTTCCATTACAATGCACTACCTCGATGCAGATTTTTAATTGACTACCGTTATTTTTTTTTTTAAGGATCAAGCTACGATTTGCCCGATGATTTTTACTGTGCCCCGAAAAGGTAATTTTTAAATTGTTTTGTTAAAATATTTTTACAAGTAAATTTTTACACCATGGCTGTGCCAGGTCAAGTTCCCTTACGCTGCTGCTGGTGAGCTCGGCTGCCTA